AGCAGGGCAGTAAAATAATATTAATTCTTAGTTCAGTTTTTATTTTATTGATCACCAAAACCGTCAAAAAGTGTTTTAAACCGTCCAAAAACCAACCTAAATCGTAGGAAATATGTCGTAAACCGTCACTTAATCGGAAAGTTGGGGTTAGAATAACGTTTTTATTTATTCATTGGTATCAAAATTCCCTCTACTTGTAGTACCTAAACTTAGGTTAGCAGCGTTACTATTGAGCTCTGACACACGTGACTGCGACAGACACCACTTCCTTAGCTTGTACTGCCGATAAATGTGTTGACATATTATATTAGTTCCTAATTACTGGTTCCCTTTGTCTTGTCATGTTGAAACCTTAAATACAATTTTGGACAAAACAAATGGAACATCTGGACCACCCCTCCCCCCATTTCAATGATGCCAAAATGGTGCATTTTTGCTCCTTTGCGCCTTCATCATTGCTTTGGGGGGGATGGGGAATAATTGTTCCATTTTATTCTGTCCAAGATTGTAGCTACTGTCCAAATTTGAGGGCAAATGAACAAATTCCCTGTGACTTGTAGCTTTCAAAAGGGATCCAAAAGATGATTTGGAGACTCACATTGAGAGGTCGTGAAAAATTTGACAATTCATTTTATTTCATAATTCTTGGAATCTTGTGATAGGTTATCAGCTTTAATTTGGTACGGGGTTTAGTTATCTACAGTTTAAACCGGACGCACTACATCCCTTGCACACAAAACACCTCTAAAGGTGCTCTAAAGGTATATAGTAGCCTTAATGTCACTTGATTTATAAGGATTTTTCATGAGTGCACAACTTTGCAGATATCAATTCTAACAGGTGTTCATTTATTTCTGGAGTGAAATTTTCACTTTTATTAATTGTAAGATGCACACATTTGACTTATTAGTCATAAAAGGTGATACTTTGCGATATTAATCATAAAATGCGTCTCTTACGATTAATAATCGTGAAGGGTCTGCTAAATCTGCGAGCCACGGTGTGAGCCATGCGAGTCATGCGAGCCATTTATGCGAGTATTTTTTTTTTCTTCAACTG